CAGGGAATAAAGTTTTGCTCTCTTGAAGGGGTAGAGGGCTGTTCCCATGGTTATTGTTATGTTATAGCCCAGGGGATTATACTTATGTTACTGTTTAGACTGGTGGTTTGGGTTGGGACTGTAGGGGAGATTTATAGAGATCCCATTAATGTCCAAGGTGCACATAACTACCTTGAGCCCTGCCAGGGGCAGGCTCAATGCTCTAGTGAGTACTGAGCCCAGAGTGGGCATAGTTTGAGGCACAGAGACAGGGGCCAGGGGGGCAGATGGGCGTGGTGATGGAAGGGGAAAACATGGGAGCCTCAAATAAGCCAGGTCCAATGCAGTGGGCCTAGGCTAGAAGACCTAGTCAGAAAAAAGGGGCAGAGGCTGGGGAGGCCAAAGCCCCAACAGTGATGACAGTAACACATGTGAGGAATGGGGTGTGGGGTAAGGGGAACTTAGAGCCATGCAATTAGCCCTTAAGGCTTGGGGTGCCCTCCAGTGGCCCAGTAAGTAAGGCCCAGTAAGGGGCCTGTTTATTTATAACATTCAAACACCTTGGTTCCTAAAGCCCACCCAGCTAATGAGTATCCCCTATTGTATGGGGGCTAATGGGTGAATGCTACAACAAAATACTTGGGACAACTAATGAAAAAAACAGGATAGGAGTGTCGTGTGGGTCAAAGGGTCAAAACGTGAAAATAAGTGTGCCTGAAGGGGACACTGAGCAGAGTCCCCCGGGCTGCACCCACCGGTCCTCAAAGGCATCCAAGGAGCCGGTGGACACTGCCCACTGGTGCTCTTCCCGGAAACATGCATGGACAACTGAGAGAAAAGCAGCTCTGCAGTCTCTGGGCACCTTCCTGGCCAGAGCCTCCTTCCTGGACCCATTTGGCCAGGGCTAGGAGGTTGACCAGGAGGTCCCAGGACTTGGTGGGGTTGCACATGGGGTAACCAAAGACAAAAAGGGGGGATGAAATTCAACCAGAACCTCAAGAAGAGGTTGTGGAGGTGGAAGGGCTGCAGCCTGGCACACTTGAGGGTCATGTGCACCAGGGTCTCCCTCTGCCCACAGAAGGGGCAGGAGACATCTGTGAAACTTGCCACATACATACCCATGGCGACAGCTCCATGGAGGAGCCACCAGCTGAGGTCCCCAGTGGTTCGTGGGATGAGGGCGGAGTACAGACTCAGCCACTGGGATGCCCCAGGTCCTGCCTGACACTTGGTGTCTGGTTGGGGACATGAGGGCGGCATGATGGACAGTACAGTGCATGAGCACGTAGAGGTGGCAGCAATGGACAGTGGAAAAGCAGACTGGTCTGGTGTCCTCCAGCCAGCTCAGGTGGTGGTGTGGGGAGCACTGTGAGGCCGGGCAAGGCACTGGCCCCACGACAAACTCCAGTGGGCTGGAGGACACAGAGGGGAGCGGGGGGCAGCAAGGGGCCTGAGAACTAGTGAAGCCTGGTAAGGAGCCTGGGTGAAGACAGAAACTGGCAGAGGTTCAGTGGAACCGTGGCCATGTTAAGATTCGTGGGCAGTCTCCCCATCTATCATTATTTCCATCAAGCCATGGCAGGTGAGATGGGATGGCACCCGAGGGGTGGAGTGGGCACAGTTGCAGAGCTACCAAGGGGTGACACTGCCACCCCTGGGACCCTGATCTTGTTACAATTATACAAAGTGCTAATGGGAAGTCTTAGGGGTCTGAGAGGGGGCTAGATGAACATTTTGGATGGTTGATTAGAGCAGTGGTCTCCGAAGTGGGGTGCGCGCAAGATGATCCATTGGGGTGCAGGAAGAAAATATTAGAACTTCTATTTATATTTATATAGATATACATATATTGGGGGTGCATGCTCAAAAATTTTTTACTAATAAGGGTGCGCGATCAAAAAAGTTTGGACACCACTGGATTAGAGCACTGTGCTAGGAAGTCAGAGATGGAAGTTCAACCCCCCTCTGGATCAGACCAACTGTCAGGGTCACCAGGGTCAGACCATTCACCATGTTTGGGGTCAGGAATGAATTTTACCCCATAGTCAGAGTGGTATGGATTGTGGGAATTTTTGCCTTCCTCTGTGGCAGGTGGGGATGGTAGGGGGAGTATGGCCCATTTCAATGAAAAACTGTTCCATCATAAGTTCTGACTGGAAGACTGCTGTGCCTGAAAAGCAGTTGCCTTTTATCTTCTGTTAACTTACCTTACCTTAAATGTTATATGTAAATACCCCTGCCAAGAAAGCTCAAAAGATTAGGAAATATGTACACACCTATAATCACGTATAGAGATATTTTCTCTAAAATAAAAGGGAATTTGTTCCACAGTATATGACTATATATAATATACGAATCATAGTTTTACTGTTTGAAGAACAAGCATTGCACCAATACCTACAGGAACAACAGGATGCCGCAAACCTGAGCCACCTTGGGTGCACCCAGATGAGTGCACATGTGCAGTATGCAGAACCTCAGACCCGTCTGCAGTGCCACAAATTGCATGCACCACACATGCAGGTCTTCACCACACTAATTTGCAGGATGGTGGGGTTTTTTGGCACTGGGAGATCCCTGGGTCAGCAAAACCTGTGCCTGAAAAAAATCAGGGTGGTGCATGTGCAGCAGCATGTGCCCACCAAAACCAAAGCCTGGCCAGCTGAAGCCATGCTCTGGGTGCTAGCCAGGCTCCATGCACTGGATCATCACCGCTGGAGCCCCAGGAGGACCCCAGGACCACAGGTGCTGGCCGCAGCCTCTCCTATCCCCCTGGAGTAACTTGCCATGCGCCAGAGTGCATGTGCATGGGCATTCCTTGGGAAGAAACAGCAGCAGCACAACTATATGCCACTGCTATTTATCCCCAGGGAAATGCACATGCATGTTCATCTGGACGTGCCCCCCTGAGCCTTCGTGGGGAAAGACAGCATAAAAATCTAATAAATAAATGACTCAACACCAGACCAGGAACCCTAAACAGGGCATATCTGTTTCACAGGGAGGCTTCATTTGTATCATTGCATTAGAGAAGTTTGGAGTAAGCTAAGGAATACAGGGGTATATGAATCTACCAATTATTCCCCCATTGGGGATGGATGCAATATCCACAATGTCACTTCAGCCCTGAGGCTGCAATAGCAGCTATAAAGTGGTGACCAATGGTGCTTTGTGATTTTTGGGAAAATCACAGAGCTGCTTTTTCCCAAGCCTGTCTATTTAGCCCAAGAAGTATGAACCAGTGTACTAAAGAGAAGTAATTAATATCTCAGTGCCTTAGGGTAGAAAGAGGACATTGCCTAGTGTTGCATTTGTGCCACCACAAAGATTGCAAGTAAATGGACATCCCTATCTGTTGTCATGCCACATCAATGGTGCGACATAAGGAACTGTTAAATAGTGCCGTTTTGTTGCAGTGGGTGTCTATTTGCACTGTGGTGGGAGAGTGTAGGCAGCCCAGAGCTGCTCGCACTCTCCAGTGACCCTAGGTAGTACTGTGGGGACTTGAAGGGCCTGATCCTGCATAGTTTGGGAATTGCCATGCAGGATTGGGCCCCTCAAGTCCCTGGAGCACCTGCCTGGCTTTTCCAACCTATTGAGACAGCCGTGGGAAATCTTGGGACATCTCTCTGGAAACAGGGAAGGTCAGGGTTCCCCACTAATGGAGCCCTGCCCTGGAATCTCCAGGGGTGCATCTCCATAAGCAGGGAAAGCCTATGCTGATTCTAGAGCAAAGGAAAAGAGGTCATAAAATCCCTGGCACCCCATGCCTCCACGCTGGTATCTATGCTGACCTGCACCTCTTGTGCGAAGTATGGGTCACCACAGGTTCTGGTGTGGAGATGCAGGGGAGTGGGAATTCCCTGGGTCCCATAGCACCCTGAATCTTTTTACTGGGACCCTGCTAACTGGTGCTTCATGCAGAGGCATGGGTTGACACAGTTCCTGTGTACAGCCACAGAGTCCTATGGATTCCATGCTGGGTCCTGGCAAGGTATGATGAAGAATGCCTTACGTTCAAAAGCTTGTCCAGCTTTATCTAAAACACGAAGGTGGTCCAATAAAAGATATGACCCCCAAAATAATTGCCTCATAAAAGTATCCATGTGATATAAGAACCTTAATCCCATTTTGAAAAGTGACAGGCATTTTATAGAGTCAGAAACCCCTTGCAGTCCTTCAGTTAAAGGAGCCATGGGATCTGATGTGTGATGCCAACAATACTGCTTCCTGCCATGCCACAAGCGTGTTGCAGGAGGCACAATTGTGGAATCAGGGATCTGATCCCCATTGCACCATACTGCCAGTGCAAGGGGAGCCCAGAATCATTATCCTGGCCCTCCCCTGCACTAGCAAATAGGAAGTCAGTCAGCTGATCTCCACTTCAAACCTCAGGACCATGGAGTCAAGGGCTCTGATCAGGTGATCTGTGCTCCCAGCCTGTGATGTAGCAAAGTCAAAGGCTCCAGTGCACCTCCAAGGCTGGGAGCAGCAGTCCTCTGATCTATACTCCCAGCCTCAGCAGCACATGAGAGTCGAAGGCTCCCATGAGCCCCTGAAGCAGGAAGCCCCAATCAGCTCATGTCTGATAACACATACAATTTAAGGTGAGATGGGAACCAGCCACAAAGTTATTACATATATTTTGTGTAATAATGTTGTGGCTTATTCTTTGTTTTATTGTGCCATTAACTGCATTTGTGTGTGACTAGTTAATCACATCTTTAGTGTAACATCTGCCAGGGGCTTAAGTCACACTAATTCGCTACACCACTTTTGTGGATATTACCTGTGAATTTTTCAGGCTTTTTCACAATGCTATCATTTAGCAGTTTCTACACTATATCTATTGTATATGAACTATATCTATTGTATATGACATCTCCCTTTTCTGTATATTGTTTCACTTTTTCATTTTTAAAAGTTATTATTTTGTAAAGAGAAAACATAGGAAAAAATATTGTTTCCACATACTTAGAAGTATGTGCTGGATATTTTAATGTGGAAAGGTAAACAGATACCTGTGTGAGAATAGGGAATCCAAGGTTCCTGCATCCATTGCAAGGTGTTAATGCTTCCCATAAACCTGTGGGACCACAACTGTTTTCACCCGCATCTTCCTCTTCCTCTTCTCCTGGTGAAAAGTTTGTTGATGAAGTCTTCTATAGATAAAGAAACAGTACTTGGAAAGTGAAATTTAATGGCAGACTATAATTGCACATTTTTCTTTATTTTAATATAAAGACATTAAGATTGATTATAAAACTTCACATGCCTAGAAGCCAGTAAATATTCTGCAATTTCTAATTAAATAATGTATCTCTTCAAGTAATGATCTGTAACATACATATTGTATTATATAAAAATACATGTGCTGGGCCACACTAAATAGGATTTTAATTAGGAGTGAGCATAATATACATTTGAAGGAGTTTTTTCTCCAACAATTGAAGAATGATTTTAAAATTGTGCAGAGTGTACAGCATAGTTGCCCTGCAACCTGTCAGTTGGAAAATAATATTTATTTCACTTTAAACTAACTTTTACTTTGTTATTTTTCAGTAAAAGCTCCAGAAAATGACAGCTAATAATGATATTAAACTTTCACTCCTCCAAATTAGGCAGAAATTATACACGAGGTGGAATATTATAGAAACACTGCACATTTATAGGTTTTTGTTCTCCTATCCAGTTATCATATTTGATAGAAAATGTAATTCTGTAACTGTTTTTTTATTGGATTGGCCAGCGTCTTGTGCAAAAAGAAGGTAAAAATTTAGTCACAATATAGAATTTGATCTAGTTAGATATTTGCCAGTAATAAAAATATAACTTGGCTTGTATTGTGGAAAGTACATATTTCTTATTTAAAAGTCACAGGAGATGGTTCTCATTTTCTTAATTTATTTTAAGACACTGTGTCAAGATGCTATAATCATTATTGGGAGAAAGGGTCAATAGGTTACATGAGGATCAGACAGTCAAAACTACACTGAAATCAGTGAGAGCCAAGTCACTGATTTCACTCAGAAGCAGGGTTGCAAACTATCGGTAAATTTACTTACTCTCAGTAAAATATCAAACTAAAATGGCTAAAAATACTTTAGCTATCAGTAAAAACACTAAGTGACTACAGCTCGATTGATGATCTGACAGACAGAGGACAACAGCATCATCTGAGTGGGAGTGCAGCACCCTTAGGGAGCATTCTCTGCGGCTGCATCCTGTAATACTGCTAGGTCACAGTTAGGCTTCTTTGGGGTTCTGTCTTGCTCTGCTGGTCCAGTGGGTGCAAGGCTTGGGGGTAGGTTGGGGAGTGTAGCATGGTTCAAGGTGTAGTTGGGGGTATCAGGGAGTGATGGTGAGTAGTGGGCCCGTGGAAGGAGATTGAGGGGAGCACAATGTAAACTATTGCTGCAATCAAACAGGGTTTTTTACTGCAAACTTTTTGCTGACAACCAAACTTTTTTTTACTTTTTCTACTGTGTTTGATATTCAACTCCCAAATTTGAACCCAGCCCTTCTAACTGGGACTTGGCAGAAGAGTTACATTTACATTATATAATATATATATCAGTAAAAATGTGTCAGTAAAAAAGTTTAGCTATCAGTAAAAAGCTTGCAGGGTGTCAATTAAAAAATAATCTTGGCAATCCTGCTCAGAAAAGAGATAGAGTTAACACTGAACAGCTTGTAAATTAGACTCCCATCTCTATTTTTCCCCTAGATCAGGGATATCAAACTCACCTTGCGATGGCCAGATCCAGACCTTCCAGGCCAGGTCCAGCCCATGGCAGGGAGTGGCTTCAGCCTCGGGCACAGGGCAGTAGCAGGGCTGGTAGTGGGGAAGGTATGACAAGCATGCAGGCCATGTGGCCACCTGCTGTAGTAGTGGTAGTGGTGATGAGGCAGGTGGCTGCAGTGTGACCAAGGCTGTATATGCCTTTGCTTGCCTTCCTGCCACCAGGGGGCTTGTTCTTCAGGGCCCAGGACCCTGAATTCTGTGACTGGCCACACCTCCTAAACCCCATCCCCCCAAGCTTCAGGTTCCTGTTGGTAGCGCAGTGGGCTGGATAAAGCAATTCAATGGGCCATATATTTGACACCCCTGCCCTAGATTATTACTTTGATTCTCTTTAAATTGGAGGTATATAAAACCTGGTCCAAAAAATAAAATCAATCTAGATCTGCTTGATGAATCTATTTGGTCCACCTGACATTCAGATCCTAGATTTTTATTTAGTACCTTCCCCACCCCCCAATTAAAAGGTCTGAGTCCCAAGGATGCAGAGTTGTCTTCATATATAAAGTCAGACATGAATTTTAACTAATGCAATGCTGCCTTCACAAGTCTGCAGGCAACTTGAATCAATGAGCAGTGGTTCTGACCTCTCCCTCCTGTTAATGCCATGGTAATATCAGCTCTAAAGCCAAGTTATGAAAATTGTTCATCAGCAATAACCAGTTAATTGGAGAGCATTTTATCAAATGAAATGTTAAAATGGACGGAACTTGAAGCATGAAAGGAAACACAAAAGAAAAAACATAAATATGACACAAGACAAAGGAGGCTGGAGAAACAAACAAAACAAAATTAGTGGTTCTGAAACTACTGGCTGCTATCTTATACAGAATATGGTAATACAGCAGTGTACAAAAAGATATTAAGCAACATTTTATAACATCTAAAAACTATTCAATAGGCCATGAGTCCTTCCTATTCAGAGTTGTGATGCCATCTTCTGTTTTTTTAACTCTATGTTCAGTTCATATCAGTTATTTTTTAACATATGCAAGTTGCACTGAGCAAGTACTCCTAAATTCATAACCCAGGCCACTCATGCAAAATTAAAAATGGAAATTATCCCTCTCTTCAGTTTGAATCCACTGTTTTACAAGTTACTGCATCCTTTATTACAAACTCAGTGAACCAAACCATTTATGTTTTATATTTTTTTAAAGTAAACATTTATTTACTTTGTACTTTCAAATTCACTAAGACATTTTCTTAACATGTTATTTCATGAGATTATTTTGACAGTCAAGTGGTGCTACAAAATGTGTTACTATAGTAACAAGCATCTTGCATGGATTATTAAAAGGGTTGGGTTAACTCTGCCGAGTGCAGGTCATTGAGGAGTTTTATTGTTATACAGTTGTGTAGGAAGAGGAAGCAGACCATGAGTCCTTCCTATTCAGAGTTCTGATGCCATCTTCTGTAATTTTTACTTTAAGTTCATATAACTTATTTTACAAGCTTTGTGCCACAGAAGAATAAATTACCCCTTTAATTAAAAAAAATCCCCATCTTCTTGTCCCCCTTTGCCTAAGGATGAGGACATCTTATATCAAGGCACAAAAAGGGTATAAAACAAGTGATGGCATTTTCATGCTCTGGTGTGCTTGCATAATGTCATTTTCATGGTGATGTTGGTTGTTTATTCTACTTCCAGCACATATGGAAATATTTATGAAAGAGATAAGTTTCCCTCAACTGCAGGAATAAGAAGAATCTCTTCAACTGTAATCTAGTTCTTGCCTATCCGCTGACCTGAGATAAACCACATTTATTTCCCTTAGCTTTATTCCTAATATCTCATCTTTTCTCATATGTGAGTCCTTTCTCCAATTTTATCTCTTCCTTCAGATAAGGTAACTAATATTGGTTTTAGTAGAATGTTTAATATTAATGGGAGCTTGCCAACTACACCTGACATTTTGTTCTTTGAAGTTGGAAATTGACCAACCCTGCAAGGTCAGCTTGACAGTTCATATTCAGGAAACTTGAACATACAGAAAGCAGGCACCACTCTTTTCCTCCATCCTTAACTTCAGCCACTTCCTCCTCTCCCAGGAGCCTCTTTAAGTTATAAAAAATGCATTTTTTTGACCAACATGGTTAATGCATGGTTAATTTCTAACACCTTAACTGGGTAGTAAAAGCATAAACAGCTTGAGTGATGGTCCTAAAGTTATGGCTCATCCTGGATAACAAGGAAGTGTGAAGAAATAAAGTTGAAGACAGAGATTTGAAAAGACGAGTGAATCTGTAAGAAAAATGATCCAAACATATTGGTAAAGAGACAATATATTTTACTCAGTCTTCATTTGTTCTACAGCAGTGTTACCCAATCCTTACACCCTGTGGGCTAGATAGGTGCTGCCAGGTCTGTCTGCAGACTGGATTTGGTTGGTAGGCTTGATCAAGTAAGCAGAGCTGGCACAGCAGGGGCCTCATCCAGCTGCGGGGGGGTGGGGG